GACAATTTTAAACACTCTGGAAAGCAATGGTAATATTTAATTTTATCTTAGTTAAATATTGCTTTTTATTTTAGGATTCCTCTCTTACTGTAAATTTCATGAAATGTCTAAAGTTTCACAGATGCAGCAATGTCGCGCTACTATCCTAGAGCAAACTTACCAGCTCCTCTAGGGCATCCTCCTCCTTCTGAATAAATTTTGTTCTGTTTGATGCATAAACGTTCACGTCACCGTATTTGTTAGAGAAAACCGTGGTGTGAGAGAAACAGCATTTGATCTGGAATTATTTTATTTCTAGGCCCATCTGTGACCCTGAGTAACACTCGACTTCCACATGCCTTGGTTATGGTATCTGTAAAACGTGGATAGTAACTGCTCTACCAAACCGTGTTGTTAGGAACAGCAAATAAGATTACCTAGGAAGGCCAGTCAAATGTAAAAAAAGTGCTGTTCTTTAGAGAAGAAACAGACCTACACCATTTCTCTACGCTGGCAAAGTAACCCAACCATTTGAAATCTCTCTTCTCCCTAATCAGTCCAAACACACAGGCAACCAAGTGTTGAGGATTCCAGCTGATGCCCACAATGCCTCCTATTAAGAAAAAAAAAAATCCAAAAACCACTTCTTGTCCTTTCACCCCATCTCCTAGTTCCGTTGGTGAAGGATAATTTTGAAAGTTGTGCTTGATTTTACTATGGGGCCTTAATACGCGCTTCCTTCTGTAAAGTCCCGTATGGTACAGGACCAGCAATTTCAGCATTTCTCCCATGAACCTGTTAGAAATGCAAATTATCGGCCCCACCCCTGACCTACTGAATCAGAAACTCTGGGCTGGGATCCAGCAATCTGTGTTTTAACAAGCTCTCCGGGCGATTCCGATGCACACTAAAGCTTGACCACCGTCGTGCAGTACCATCTGTCTACATCTACGCATGGTTGGTGAGCCGATTCCCAGCTACCTTCTAACTCTGCAACTGACTTTCACTCTCCTCCCTAACAACGCATCATGCGAGCCTCCCGGACCAGGCATTCGCACTGAACGGCTAGATAGGGAAGAGATGAAACCAGGAAATTCTTTCCTAAAATAGAAGGACTCTCTACCTATGCCAACTGCTCATCATCCTCAACAGCGGAAATTCGCAGCCAGAGCATCTGGGCCCTGCCGCCCTCCCATGCGCCCCACCTTCCCCGGGGAGAAGCGCCAGGCGGTGAACCGCACACACGCCAAGTGCTGGGAGACGGGTGGGGAGCTGGCTGGGCCCTGATTACCTGGACCAGCGTCATCTGCGAGCCGAGGGCCAAGAGTATCTTCTCCGTCTTGGTGGGGTACGGGTTGTCACGGTGCTTGTAAAGCCACTGCTTGAGGGGCCGCGCCATATCTTGCAGAGCTTGCCGCTTGTGCCTCACCTTCCCGCCGTTCTGCCGGGCCCTAGGACACGGTGGAGGAGGGGGCCCTGGTGAGCGGCCCCGTCCGGGGGCTGCCGCCGGGACCCTCTGTGTCTTGGCGCATTTCAGACGCGGGAGCCCCCCAGCTTGGCCCAGAAGGGACGCTGAGCCCCACCCCGCACCCCAGGGCATCGAGCCTGGCTCTGCGCCCCGACCCGCGCGCGGAGGCCGGTGCGCCGAGGTTGGAGCAAAGCAAGGGATGGGAGCCACACTATTCCGTCTGTTTCTGGGTGGGGGTGTCGTTTCCCCTCCCCCACATCTGTATTTGAAATAGCCTGGTTGTCCCGGGGTCAGGCGGCAGTGCGGGATGCTAGCTAGGTTTACCTTTAAAGGGGGGATATTTTGAACCCAGTTATCCGAGGTCAGAAGTTTAGGAGACAATGGTTAAGTGATTTGAATAACAGTGTTATTTAAGTTGCAG